CCGAGGCGGAGGAGGCCGCGGCCGCGGTCGCGCCAGGAGGCCCGCGGGCCTGAGCTCCGGGCAGCCCGGCCGGCGCGCCCTCGCGCGAGAGGCGCGCTCCCGGGCGGCGCGGGGGCCTCGGGCCGCCGCGGGGGCGCGGGGGGCCGCGGGCCGCCCAGCACGGGGCTCTGCGGGGGGAGGGCGGCGGAGGCGGCGGGGGAGGAGGAGATTTAACGGCTTCCTCCTCCTCCTTGTCCTACTTCCTCCGACCTCCTCCTCCCTCCGCACCTCCTGCTCACCCCTCCTCCGCCTCATCCTCCTCTCCTCCTCCTACTCCTCCTCCTCCGCCGCCCTCCTCCGCCTCTCTCCCCCTCCTCCGTCCCCTCCGCCTCTCTCCCCCCCACCCCCTCCTATCCTCCTCTCCTCTATCCTCCCGTCCTCCTTCCCCTCCTCCTCCTCTCCTCCTTCCTCATCCGCCTCCTGCCTCCACCTCTCCTCCTCCTCCTGCCTCAATTCCCTCGCGCCTCCCTCCGTCCCTCCCTCCATCCGTCCATCCGTCAATTCGCCATCTCCCACTCCTCCCTCCACATCCATCTCCAGACCGCCCTTACTTCCTCGCCAACCGCCCTCCGCCCAAGGCCCTCCCTGCATCCCTGCCGCTGGCGCCGCCATCCATCCCTCGAAATGGCACAGTCCTCAACGCAGACAGCCTCCCGCCGACCCAATCAGAACCAGCATCTCCTCCTACCTACCCTGACCTCAATCTCCTCCTCCTCCTACCTCCTCGTTCCCTCCCTAGCAACGAGTCATTCGACTCCCCTCTCCATCCCATTCTCCCAGCCATTCCTCATCCCTACCTCCCTCTCTTCTACTCATCCCCATCTCTGCGTCCTCCTCCTAACCTCCTCCTAGTCCCCTCCTCCTACTCATGCCCCCTCCTCGCCTTCCTTCTTCCCCTTCATTCCTTTCTTCCTCACTACTCTCTACTATCGCTCCTCCTCCTCCCTGTCCTCCTCCCCCTCTTCCAAATCTCCCTCCTCCTCTACAAGTGCACAGTATGAATATGATACCGGAGAAGAACCCCAATCAGATGTTTGTTGGGGCAATGGGGCTATATGGGCTATATGGCTATAGGGGTATAGTGGTATTGGGCTATTGGGCTATTGGGCTATCGAAGCTATAGAACCTTAGGGCTATAGGGCTATAGGGCTAAAGAGCTATAGGGCTGTAGGGCTATAGGGCTCTAGAGCTATAGGGCTCTAGGGCTATAGGGCCATAGTGCTACACGGCTGTAGGGCTATAGGGCTATAGGGCTATAGGGCTACTGGGCTATTGGGCACCCGGGCACCCCCGGGCACCCGGGCACCCGGGCACCCGGGCCCGGCCACCGAAATCGGCCACGCACCTCACCGGCCACCCGGGCACCCGGGCACCGCCGGGCACCCGGGCACCCGGGCACCCGGGCCCGGCCACCGAAATCGGCGACAAACCTCACCTAACCCTTTAATCCCCTATAGGACCCCTACAGAGGCAAGCTCTGATTGGGGAACTACTCTTCTCTCTCCTCTGACTCTGTCCCGAGACTGACCCGTCCTCTCCGCGTATTTCCCCAATCAGTGCTTGCACTGAAGGGGTCCTCGCGGAAGTTGAAAGATTTGGCGAAAATATCCCGCCGATTTTGGTCGCACGCTGGGTTCCCGGGTTCCGAATTCCGGGTTCCCAGGTTCCCGGTTCTGGGTTCCGGGCCGATTTCGGAGGGCGGCGAGGTTCGCGGCTTCCTGGGTTCCTGGTCGATCTTCTTATCGATCGGTCTCACCATCGATTTCATTATCCACCTCTCTAGCGATCTCACCATCGATCGCACAATCGATCGCACTATCGATCTGACAAGCTATCTCACTAGAGATCGCATGAGCGATCTCGCGATCGATCTCATTACATCGATTCCACTCTCGGTCTCACGATCGACCTTAGAATCGTCCTCACTATCGACTCCACTATCGTTCTCAGTATCGATCTCACAATCGACCTGAAGATCCATACTAGTGATTTTCAAATCATCCACGGATTGGGTTTTCCCTGGTGTATTTTTTACACACAAGATTTCATTACTTGGTCTTCCCATGTGATTTTTGTAATCCAATCGTTTCTGATTCTTGTTCCCGCTGGAGCGCCGCCCTCGCTGCTGCGCTTGGATTCGTTCAAGATCGTGCTCCCGCTTCAGCGCTGGCCTCGTTCCGCGCCTCCAGACAGCACTTGGCATTCGAAAAAGTCCACATCGGGCAGGCGCGGTTGCGGGGGACATGGAGCCTGCATTCCGGAAAGGCCCTGTCCTCTCGTAGACGGGCCACTTACCCTCCAAGTCATCCGGTGCCATACCACGACATGCAATGCGATGCTGTGTTGTGCACCAATGTGCGATGCCATGCGTTGCGTTGCTACGCTGTGTCATGCAATGCTTCAAAACGCAATGCCACGCCATGCTATGACATGCTGCTCGTTGCCGTGCTCTTCTACACCATGCTTTTCCATGCATCGCGTATCCTCTTGGGATCATTGCCCTGCTCGACATCCGACTGTGCGAATATATAAGATATCTACGCCATGGGACGAGATGGGAGGGAGGAGTAGGACGTCAGATGTGACGCTAGCGCACCTAGCTTGTCCTCCTCCGCCTCCTCCTCATCAGCCTCCTCCTGCTCCTCCTCCTCCTTATCCACTTTCTCCACCTCCTTCCAGGGCCTAAGACTCGATAGGGAACGACGAGCCCCCTCTTGGACCCCAGAAGCGCCCGCGTGCACGAGGCGGGCCAGAGGAGCAGCCATGCAAGGACCTGGGCAGCATCGAGCCCCCTGAGAGTGCAGACTGTTCGAAGGGGCTCCAGGGACACACACACACACAAATAGATAGACACACAGCCCAAGATCAGATCTCCCATATGTTTACACGCTTTGAAGGTCTTCGTCCCCCCCTCCCACCTCCCACATCTCCGCACGTGCTCCTCGGAAAAATCGACCTTGCTGTGTGCTGGCGCCCGTTCTCCCCGCGCGGCCCTTCCCTGCCTCGGCGTCTTTTGCCGGAGCCGCTCGGGGGGCAGGGGCCCGCCCGCGGCGGGGCGTACCCCTCGGGGAGACCCGGGCCCGCCAGGCCTTGCAGAGCCCTGCGAGATCCTGCACCCAAGCCCGGGTCAACGCGAATGGCCCTGCAAGCTCCTGCAGGATCCTGCGCCCAGACCCGGGTCAACCCGAATGATCCTGCAGGAACCTGCAGGATCCTGCACCCAAGCCCGGGTCAATGCGAATGGGCCTGCAGGATCCTGCACCCAAGCCCGGGTCAGTGCGACCCTGGCCCTGCAAGATCCTGCAAGATCGGGCGCCCTGGCTGGCCCCCGTTTGCATTGACCCCCGTGGGGTCGGGGGGCCGCCGGGGGGGGGGGGGAGGCCTCGGGGCCGGCGGGGTGCACCCCGAGTATCGACCTCGAAGCGAAAACTGCTTGGGCACCGTGACCGGCTGCACTATACGCCGCGAAACTATAGGCACGGACACC